TATGGAAGACACCATCTTCATCACCTTGTTGGGCGCTGCATCTGGAAGGCCCCAGTTGGGGTATTGCGGCACCAGGGAAGCTCGAGGCAGAGTCAGGCATAGCGGACCAAGCCAGCAGCGGCATAGCTGCTCTGCGTTGTCCTTTGGACATCAACGCAGCACCCTAGCTGCTTGGAGTAGTCCGCCATAGCCTATGCATGAGAGAGGAGGCTGAACGAGGGAAGCCATAACTATGGTGGACTGGTTGTTGTTGTTGTTGTTGTTGTTGAGTTGAGTCAGCAGTAAGAGGGAACTTCGGATATTGATTTTGGTTCATCCATTCATTGTTATTATTATTATTGAGAGAAGAATAAGATTGGTGAAGAGAAGGAGGAGGAAGGTGGAGAGAGAAGGGGGAATTGTCATTGGTCTTGCTGGTGTACTTCTTCTTCTTCTTCTTTACCTCTCCTCTGGTCTTTATCTCTTTGCAAGTGCTTTCATTTCTTTCGCAATTGGGTGGCATTGTCTTTCATTGTGAATTTGCACTTGGGAAATGACCAGGATCGTAACACTTAATTAAAAAAAGGCATCATCATGACGCTCTTCCGCTTTGCTATTCAGACATGTTTCCTCGAACCACGGGCTAAATAGAGGGAGATTGAGGAAGAAATGTGGAGGAACAAAGAAATCTTCTGTCTGCGACATAATCAGTGGCATATCAACAAATGTCATTATTGTTACATCAATCACCAGGTTGAGAAGCGGACAGACAGAGATGCCAGCTTAAAGAAATCACGCTCAGAACTTAAGATACCTGTGACAGTTTCTGGCTTGCGGCATTTCCAAGAGCCCTTGCTTCCTCCCATAATCCTCCAAGAATATACACATCGATGGCCTTCAATGAGAAGCAGACACATAGCAAGCATAGGGTAAGGGATGATGTCATCTGTATGATCAACTCACATGCAACAGAACATGTTCTAGGTGTCTCAGCCAATCTCCTATTGAATTCATAGTTTGGAGTCTGTTGCAATTACTTCAGCGCACAAAACACATGCATCCAGCACGTACACCAATGGCCCAGTTTTGGTTTGGTTGGAATTATTACACGACACTCTGTTGCATGGTGATGACCTGGGCGTTCGCCTCATGATCCCGACCGTCCAGGCCTGGATATCTGCATCTGGTGTCTGGTCCAGTATATCCGGATCAGGCCCCAAAGCCAGAAAATGCAATAGAAAATGACCGAGAGCGAATGACAGAAAACCAAATTGCATCATCACATTGGAAGCCAGATAGTCGTGTGCTGAACAGAAAGCAGAATGCACCGAGTTACACACCCAATAAGAGCAAAGCAATGAACTCAATTATCAGTGTCAGCCCCCATCTCACATCCACCAACAGTGTATCCAATGTCGCTCTTCTATATGGTGCCCGCCGCCCGGTGCCCAGACTACATTCAGACTGCACCTATACTAGCCTAACAATCTACCAGATGCACCCATGAACACTCAGCAGCAGCCCAATGTACATGAAGACATCACCCTTGCAGACCTCCACAACACACCAGCTACCTGTCTCTCTCTCCCTCTCTCTCGTTCATCCGCTGACTGCCCTCCACAGGCTCTCCACCATCACCCAGGACCACACCATCTCCGCCGGCTCCAATGCACAAGCGGGTCAGTTATAGCCGCCGTGCTTTGCTGCGTTCAGCAGCGTTGTAACCCAGTGCCCATGTGCGCGATCCCGCTGGCCACCGCTCTGCCTCTGGTGTGCACTCGAGCAGCACTCACGCAGCAGCATCCAGCCAGAATGTGTCTGGACTGGAGGTAGGCACTTTCCTTTATGAAAAGTGTCTGGCTGCTGGCGAGGGCCTGGACTGACTGCATGCCTGAGTGCCAGTAGTTGTGCCCCAGGGCCCTTCCATAATGTGCCTGTGGCTCAAAATGTAAGGGTCCTGGGCCTCAGCAGCTGAGGCTGGCAGCATCTTCAACTGTCGGGCCGTTCCCCGTGGTTGAAGATGCTGCGAGGCTCAGCCACCCCAAGCAAGGCCCTTCCGGAAGCTCATGTCTGGCAACCAACTAACGTCCAAGGCCTGCGGCCTAAACAAACCAGTGGGGCCCTTTTCCTTCAGCAACTGCCTGGGGTCCCTGCAGCTTTCCGGCCAAATCAGAATTTGAGGCCCGCCTTCGCTTAGGGCAGGCGTGCGGGGCTTAAAGCCACGCCGAGGGGCACTGATCCTCGCACTCCCTCCTCATGCTTCGATAATCATCTGAGAAGCTGTTACTTCACTTGATATTTCCCCTTGATCTTTCATTCGTATCGAAACACAATCTGAGGCGCTGTTTTCATCAGCTCCTCCTTGGTGAACCATCGATCTTCTTTAGGATCTGCATGATGCCTGAATCTGATCCAGAACTATCTTCGGGGTTTCGGCAGTCTTCCGCTGCCAACAGCCTTTGGAACAGGTGTGTCACTGTGCTCCATGATGTCACCGATATCGACATGTCCATCCATGGTTTGGGGCAACATAGACCGTCATGAAGGAAACTGATCAGTCTCAGAGAAATGTGCAAGTTTGGATGCATGGAATACGGGATAGGTGCATAGGTGACCCGGAATGCGGATGACATATGAGGGCCATCAGGATCGTTCCCCACTATATCTAACACTTCCCAAGGCCTGAAGTATTGAGGCTTTAGTTTCCTAGAGATGTCTGTCTCTTGTCCAAACTCAAATGACTTTACCCAGACCCTCTCTCCCACCTGAAACATAGACTGTGTCCTATGCTTGTTCTCATATGCGATCATTTCATCTTGAGACTTCTGTATTTGCTTGACAGCCTGCTGCAGGAGGCTGTCATACTGGACAACAAACTCTATGCTGCCAAGAGCTGCAGTGGGTCTGTTTTCAGGTAGAAGGAAGTCTAAGCCAGATCTAGGCTTCCAACCGAGATACAGCGGGTTGGGAGACATACTGGTGGTGATGTGCACAACATTGTTATAGAGGCTTCCGATGAGAGGCAGTTTCTCATCCCAGTCATCTTTGCTTGGCTGGATATAATGCCTGAGCAAGTACTGCTCCACACGGTTCATATGTTCCGTCTGGCCGTTGGCTTCAGGATGGTTTCCTGATGTCATTGGCAATTGGGAACCCATCTGCTCAGCCACTTTCTTCCAGAACTCACTGGTGAAACAGGCATGTCTGTCACTCACTATTGACTTGGGCAACCTAAAATCATGCACCTAGTTATCCATGAACAGTTTGATTACGTGCTCAGTCGTTGCGGTCTTGGGCATAGCAACTGTTACATGCTGTATAGGCCCCAACCTATTTCCCTACAGGGAAACTTCCAGGCTCTTGCCTGGAAGCTTCCTTCTGACAGGGCCTACAGGCCCCAGCCTGTTTCCC